TAGCCACAAACCTGAGGATGAAGTTAAAACATAGTTATGGGTGGGACCAAAATAATTCTAGAAGAAAGTGGCTGCAACTCTGTCCTACCTAATTATAATAGGGAGGAATAAATATTGCTATTTTAAAAGTAATTCTAGGGTGAATTTTTTTGTTACTTGCAACTAAACACATATGAGGGTACTTCAAAAAGTTCATGGAAAAATAGAATTAAAAGATAATATAAATATTTCCATAAAAATTTTTTGGGGGGTGTCCATGTATAAACCAATCCATATTGTGTTTATTGACATCCCTGCATGTCTCAAGGAACAAATCATTTATGTGGCTAATTCCCTGTCCTAGCATGCTGAGAGACTCAGTAATAGGATAGTAAGTATTCCATAATTATTTTCACATAAATCTTAAAACATAGAAGTGTTTTACTTTCTTGGCTCATTCTTTTTACTTTTCCCTTTGTCTTTCTTAGTTCCATTGGCTTTTATATATGAAACATCATGAACCATGTCATTTGTTAGCAAAAGAAGTAAAACAAAATTGGTCTTATATGCAATAGATCACAATGTTTTGATGACATCATATGCAATTGCATGTATCAATACAAGTTATATATCTGACAAGTACACACTGAAATAATGAATTATGCCCTGTATTAGTATATAAATGTGATATTTTGGGGGAGCCTGATGGGTGTAAGAAATCTCTGATCACTGTATTATCAGTTATTAACGGAAAGGCATATTGCATAGAAAAAGGCAAATCACATATACATTGAGCATCTACTGTTTACTAGGCTGAGCGCAAAGATGCTGGTTAAACAATAGTAAATAGGCGTGATAGGGTCCTTATTCTCTTGGAGTTTACAGACTGTGTGAGCAGTCAGACTATTAAACAGGCAATTAAAACACAGTTTGATAAATGCTCATACATCAAGTGCAACATGTGAGAATATAAAAGAGGTTGTTTTTTTTTTTTTAACCTTTTTGTCTTTTTTCGTGACCGGCAATGGATTGCAACCCTCAGTGTCGCGCCCGTACCGGACCGGGACCGGCTACGGGATCGCAACCCTCGGTGTTGCTCCCGCACCTCGCTCAGCCAGTGAGCGGCCGGTCTGTATGTGGGATCCAAACCCTCGGTGGGAGAGCCGCCGCGCTTCAGTGCGCTACCGGGCCGGCCCCTAAAAGAGGTTGTTTGACTTAAAATTGGGAGCGGGGTTGGAGTGGGCAGGAAAGGGCAACGGATCGCAACCCTCAGTGTCGCGCCCGTACTGGACCGGGACTGGCACTGGGATCACAACCCTCGGTGTTGCACCCGCACCTCGCTCAGCCAGTGAGCGGCCGGTCTGTATGTGGGATCCAAACCCTCGGTGGGAGAGCCGCCGCGCTTCAGTGCGCTACCGGGCCGGCCCCTAAAAGAGGTTGTTTGACTTAAAATTGGGAGCGGGGTTGGAGTGGGCAGGAAAGGATTCCTGGAGGAAATACATTGAGTCCTGGAGATTGAATTGAATTGAAGTAGGCAAAGGATGAAAGAATATGTAGAGAATAGCATGTTCAGAGAGCTGGAAAAGATGGAAAATATACATTAGGTATCTTCAGAAAATGAGGCAGCGAGCAACAAGTTTATAGTTGGAATTAGAGTGTTAGAGATGGAGCAGACCGTAAGAGACATTTTTAAGGTGTTTGGACTATGTTATGAATGTAGCAGGGATTCATGTGTATATTTGATCAAATTATTCTGGCTTCGTGGTAGAAATTAGATTTGAAAGGAACAGAGCAGAAACTGGCAGTTGTAGTCATCTGGGTAAGATGCCGTAGAATGGTTGGCAAACAGGTAAAGGGAAGGCGAATCTTGGAGGAATATTTAGGTGATGGATCATTACTTGAATGTGATGGAAAGGGAGAGCAGGGCCTCAAGATGACCCTTTGGCTTAGGCAGATGGAAAGGTCATCACTGAGGAAGGGCTACCAAAAGGGACCCATTTAGGTAAGACAGTGAGTTTCATTTTAATGTGACTCCTAGTTATCTGTGCAGCATCTCTTGGATATGAGATTTGGGCAGACAGTTGTGTGCATAGGTATGGGATTTGTATGTGGGCTGGAATCTCTGAGGTCCAGTGTTCTGATTTATTAAATGATGATAGTATCTACCTCACAATGTCATTGTGTAGATTGAATAAGATAAAATATAAAGCAATTCACACAGTGCTAAAAAGGAGGCAAATATTATTGTTTTCATATACTGTTTTTTTAATTACTGTTAATGATACTTTCCCTTCTGTTAGTTTTCCAACTGATAGCCTGAGATGATTAAAAGATTATAACAGCTAATGTCTACTGAATACTTACAGTGTACTAGGCATTCTTCACTCTTCTAACACTGTACATATATTGAATCATTTAATTATCAGAAAAATTATATGCAATAGTACTTTTACTATCTCCGTTTTATAGATATGAAGACAGGCACAAACAGTTTAAGCAACTTGTAGAAGATCATATAGCTAGAGAGTGTTGGACTCTTGGATTTGAACCAATACAGTCAGACTCCTGTTCCTGCACATTAAACCACTATGCTATGACGCCTCTCTCCATAGGTAGATGTATTGGAATATACTCTTGCTTAATATGCCTTTAACTTTTAATCAGTCTACATTACCTGTTATGTCCCTTAAGAATATTCTACTATTCATCTTATTTCATTCCTGTCAATAATTCTACTATTTCTAAAACACCTAGCATAGAGAACCCACAATTCTTTTAAAGTTAATATTGAAACATTTTTCTATTTTATATCATAATGTCAAATGTACTGCTGATTGACTTTCATACACATAATATGTAAACATGGATTTCCATTTCAGATCCATATCTCCAAGCATTTCTATATTCATAGACTGGTAGGTTTGAAAGGAACTTAAAATCCTTTTATTCAATCACACATGAAATGTTTGAATTCACGTTGCCAAATTGTTATTGCACCAAGATCTCTACAGCTTTAATCACAGAAATCTTCCTACGTAAATCACGTCTCAGTATTTGCGGTTGTTCTTGGTAAACTTTTCGTCACCAATATTTCCCCAGCACCTAGAAATTTGCCCGGCACATGATAAGTGCTTAATACATTTTATGAGTGGATGAACAAATGAATGATTGATTATTAAAAATTCACTATTCTTTCTGTTTCTCTGTAATTCTGCAAGACAAAGCACAATTGCCTTAATACAACATATGAAATTTTTTATGCAAGAGAAAGACTAAAACACTTAAAGAATTTTTTTTTTTTTTTAAAAACAGAGTTGACATATGTAGACTTTCAATAATGTCTGAATATTGGGGCTGCTGGGAATTCAAGAAGACATGCTATCATCCCTGAATACTGAGGCAGACAAGTTAGGAGTAGCTTCTTAAACTTGAATAATTTCCATTTCGGAATGTCTGAAGTAGAAATCTGAACCTTATTCTGAACTGGGTAGGGAAACAAGAACTCAAGCTGATGACCAATATTGGGACAAGGTCAACTCGTATCATGAATAGTTGGACTTTTATGATCTATGAGAGGAAAACTGTAGTAGTACATTGACCTCATAATATTCCCGTGTTTCCTCTTTTGTTATTAGCCTAGCAGGACTGTCCATGCACTGGTAGTAAATAGTTCTAATTTTATCCCTTTTTATTGTGGCATCACTAAAATAAAGCACAAATTTGTATTTCATAGGTCCCATTGTTTCCAAATTTATTCATTTAAGTGCTAAAAATATGTAAAAAATAATTTTGAAAGTAAATCTGAAATAATCCATTTAAATCCTGGGTTCATGTTGGAATAGCTTCATATGGCATGTTCAAAGCCAAATTGGGATTAAGGATTGTATTTTTTCCACAAAATTACTCATAACACCTGATGACTAAGGTGGTTGCTAAGTTAGTGCTGGACGTTGCCTCTTTAGGCGTCTGATTGAGTGGGAGTTGCCATTAGCTGAGCTGTGAGTTGTCAACAAAAGCTGAGTCTGTCACAGGTGCTGCAATTTGCATTTCAGAAAGTTTGCTTCCCCAACTTTATCCCCAAAGTACCCCACTTATATAAAGTACTGAGAGGAGTCAGCATTTTTTTTCAGTTTCAGTACTTTGATGTAAATTAGGATTTTGTCTACTACTTACATGTTGTAGAGATGATGGAATTTCAAATGAAGAAGAGGGTCCTTTTTTTTTACAATATAAAACACTATTCATTTTTCCACTTCGAAATCAGAAAACAAAATAATGCCAAGTAGCAGTAACTAAATAGCACATTGACAGCAAGACAAACCATGCTTCTTAAAAGGGAAGAAGGCACGAATCAGATAGAAGGTGTGTAGATTTAATCTCTAGTGGTGAAAATGAGAAATGGGAAGTCCTAAGCCCCAAAATATTAAATAGACTTAGGAAGGGCTTTTTCTTATTAAATATTAATATATGTTTCAAACTCATGGAAAAAAGGATTCATCATTTTTGGAATAGGCAGCCTCTCCTTTGCAGAGAGACTAGGGACCTGGAGACAAATTGTGGGGAAAGTGCTCTTTTGGCAAAGCAATTCTTCTTAACATCAGCATATAACAGCCAGGTGTTTTATTTCCATAAAAATTTTTTTTTCAATACTTCAACCCAAAAGCCTGATGGGAAGGTTTTCCCTAAATATATCACTGCAGATACATTTTCTTTGAAATTGGCTGAGGTTGAATGCTCAATTAGAGGAAGATCTTTGACCCTGGAAATCTGTAAGAAGTGATTATGACTATAAAAATCATTTTTAAGAGATTAATATTGTTCGATGAATTAATTACAAAATATGCTATAGTTAAATCTCTTTGGAATATTTTAAAATGAGATTTTTCATCTTTTTGCATGTTTTTCTCTGTGCATTAATGCAATTCAAGCAAATGAAAATTGTTAATTAAATGGAGAAATAAATGTGTTTACTGGTAATTGCTTAACCTTTGAATTATAATTACAGTTTTATATTCTTATAGGATTATTTAACCATTCATAAGTATGGCAATGCAGCCAGAAATGATCTATGGAATACATTATCAGAGGTAAAGTATAGGAAGCTCAAATATCAAAGCCTCTACTTGAATATTTGAATTGAGTTTATAATACATTCATAACTTTTATTGACACTGACTGTTTTTACTTTTCGTATTTCCCTGTTGGTCATATTGCTTTCTTGTTTGATTTTTGACATAATATGTCTTTATATATAATGGGGCTAAAAATTACCTAAACTACAAATAGTGGTAAAAGATACTTTGCCTACTTTCAAGCATGACAATACTTCTGAAATAAAATTTTAATATGATGTCAGATATTCATGTTAAAGAGACAAATATTGAAGTTATAATGAATTTTTTTTCTATTTACAAGTACCAAATATTTAAATGTGATAACTAGAAATACTAGGGACACTTAATGATACTGCAAGTATCATGCTTTAACAATGAAATATATTTTATTTTCTGTTATGTAAAAACTTTCATGTTAATAAAACTTTCATTTCCATATATATATTTATGAAGCTTAACTAAAGACTAGAGATTAATTTTACTAGCATATTGTATTAGCTTCACTGATTTTAAATGTTTCTATATTTGGGAAAATTGTAAAGGTAAAAAATGGCTTAATGTTAATTATGTTTATAGTTTGTAAAACTAATTTATACAATTTTTGTTATAAAGGCTTTAAAAAGGAATGGAAAATATGTAAATATACAAGAAGTAATGGATCAGTGGACACTCCAGATGGGTTATCCTGTTATCACCATCTTGGGAAATACAACAGCAGAAAATAGAATAATAATTACCCAACAACATTTTGTTTATGACATCGGTGCTAAAACTAAAGCACTTGAACTTCAAAATAACAGGTACAACACTCTTTTTACATAAAAAATATTGCCTTTATTCTTACATTTCACGTTGCATTTTTAATATTTTAAAAAACATTGGTAACATAATTCTGAAATGTTGTAAGTGAAATATAGTTTCCATTTCTTTATTTATGTATATTATTTTCATTTTGATTCTACTTTTGCGTCCAGTTTTTGGATATTTTAACCCTCAGGGTGACAACCATCAAAGTTATTTGCTTAGGAAGACAGAAATTTAAATTATGGTGATTAAAAAAAGTAAGATTTGATTTTCCACTTTTCTCAATAAATGTTTCTTGAATTAAATTAAAAAAGTTAAGATTGTTGCAGTGAATTAAATGGAATTGCGCAAACTGTGAGATTTATAGAACATATTTTGTAATTAACAAATGAACAAAAACTAAAAATTCAGAATAATTAAAATGAACAAAAATATAAACTAAAATGAGCTAAAGGAACTTAAAATAGAAACCTTAAAATGGTCTAAATATCAATGCCACTTAGTATCAAAGTATATTCTCCTTCCCTCATTTTTAGTCTTTAAAACCACTAAATACACAGCATATGTAATATCTTGATTTATTGTTACTTTCACTTCTTTAGAAACTTATTTAATTACTGATAACTCAGCATGTAGGATTTCTTTCTTTTCTGCCTCATGTTTTCTGATATTTTGTGTCTCATTAGAGGCTGAGCCAAGGAAAGACGGCAGAACTCAAGTCAGTTAGTTTCATTCTTACAAGGTGCCCTGGTCAGACATTGGGAGGGACAGGGAAGCAGAGAGGTTAAAATTAATAAATAAAATGAGATGTTTGGATTAGGTTACTCAGGCTGTCTCCCATTATCTTGGAAAATTAGGAGTGTGATTTTATAACCCACTAATACCTAGGAGATCTGGAGCACACGTTAAGTTTATTGTACTATCTCCAAGAGGAATGGAAATTGTTCCCACGTAAGCTAGCCCCAAGACTGCTATACAGAGAAGTGATTGAGAAATTCATGACTGTTTTCTAGTGACTGCATTTGGAATCTAATTTAGGAAAGCAGTGTCTTAAATATCCATCTTGATATATACAAGGTTTCTACAAAAAGTTTGTGGAAAGATTCATATTATCTTTTAATTCTATTCTTCCATGAACTTTTTGCAGTACCTTATATACTTACTTTCAGCACACTACCCTTTGCAATTAACTGTTTGGACTTGTGGAATACAGCGTTACCCTGCCACACTGTCACCACTGTCAGGGACTGACTTTGCCAGTGCTTCTTTACCCAGCCTGGATTCCCCACAGCTGCCAAGTGTTGCTTCTAATCGTCCACTGTCTGGCTCCAGGCTAAACATGCTTAGGCATCAACCCTGGCCTTGCCAGGAAGTATATAAAAATTACTTGACTGTGGCAAAGTTAGAGAGATTCAGGCCAGGCCTTTGAGAATGATCAGTCTGACATGAGCATCAGTGATGCAGAAAAACATAAAGGACACACAGATGACAGAACAAATTTTGAACAAAAATACTCTGTCAACCTATAACATATATCAGATGTACCAACCATGAGTCTGACTCTTTCAAGGAAGAATTTCTCCCAGGCTGTATAAGCATATGGAACATCTAAGGAACTTTGCTTTTCTTGGGGTTATAAAATCATATGGATGACTTTGATCCCTGAGAACTTGGCATATATAATATTAAGAGTCAGAAAATGCAGAGCCTTCCATTAGTCTCAAAAATGATTTTCCATTTACTTTGAAATAATAGAATTTGTAGTTGAAAATTTAGTATTCCAATTTTATATTATTGATTATCTAATTCACTATAACATTCTGGTCAAAGCTTCAGTACCAATTCTGTCTGGCCTTTTTATATAGCCTTCATAGATCTTCTCACTCAGACTAAAATATACACCTACTCTTTTCTACCTTTACACAGTGTAAAACCTATTGCCTATCTATGCTAGAAATCCTGTGAATTGTGGATATTTTCTGAGCTAGGACAATGAATTTTTTGTCTTTATTTTCCTACGGAACACGACAACATCACTACATCACTACAACATGCCTAGGACACTTTAAATGTATTCAGTAATTATTTTTATATGTAATGGTTATATTACATTTCCTTTTGAAAGGAAAGATCTTAACATAACTAGTAATTGCATAAAGTTATTTGATATGTAACAGTGTATATATGTGCTAGGAGGTTGTGACTGCGTAGCGTTTTTTTTTCTTTATAAAGGTAATTCATTGGAATGTTAAGTAAATGTCTCTTCATACACTGACGGGCTTCTCAGAGGTCTGTGGTAAAGGGAATTAAATTTATCTCCACAGTCATACTTTCCTTTTCTTACTGACCTTATGATAGCAAACTCTGAACAGTTTTTTACAAAGTCTACACTAGTGCTTCATTTATATTGATACCATTTTTAAAAAAGATTTCTCACTTAGGCTAAAATATACACCTTTTCTTTTCTACCTTAATATTTGGAGGGTCTTTTGAAGTGCTTTATTTTAAAAAAACCTTTTTTTAATGCTCAAAATGAGATGGCTAAAATTCAAGTTAATTTAAGCATCTAGAACACAATCTAATTTCACAAGTTCTTTTTTTCTAGTCTCTCTCTCTTTTTTTTCCTAGTCTCTTTTTAAACATAGTGCACTGCAGTCTCAGATTTCTTTACAGCACACCACACAGTGCTCTTCACTCAACTATGTCCAGTGTTTTCTATTCTTTTAAGCTGTAATCACAAAACAACATAATTATTATGCTTTCTTTGATTTTAAAACAAAATTTATGAAAAGACTAAACATATGTTGTTTAGAAAGTTATGAAAAATAACTTAAATAGTATTGACAGTACAGCAATTTATAAATGAATACAAATTTCAGGTGTGCTTGGTAACTTGTACCCTTTTTTTTGTCCTTGTGACTATACATGGATTTTCATTCCACACACATACACACACACACATGCACACACACACACAGAGTACAAAAACATATTTAGGAAAAATATAGAAGTCTATCTTTAAGGTTTTACAAAATGCCTCAATGTTTGTATATCAAAACCTTATAGTTAACTTTTTTTGCATCTGAACAGCTATGTGATACATTATGGAATATGTATATATAAAACTTCCATTTATTAAGTTTTCTGTCTGTATGTGGTATTGACTATAAGCAACATGCAGATATTTATATGAATCTCTTTTTCATGGACTTTAGAGAGTTTTTCTAAAGCATAAATATTGACACATACCAATTTTTATCATAACCTCCAGTTATTTAGAATAATATAGTTTAAATACATGCAAAATTGTTTGTTTATATTAGGGGCAAACCATGTTGTACAGACATTTGATGATCATGCTACAAAAAAGACATTTATTCTTAAGGATTAAACAATGTCAATTTTATAGATTCCTTACCCTTTGACTGACACTTGTGTGGCTTCACAATTTAGTTGATGCAACTCACTGTGGAAGATAATATAATAAAATGTCAAGTTCATAAAGTTACACTTTGTCTTACCTATAGACTGATTTGGTCCTTTTATTTTACTTTAATCCAAACACATCCAATCAAATTCAACAGTAATTTATGAAATGCCTTCTGTTTCCCAGGCTTTTGTAAGACCTTTGGTACACAAAAATGAAGCTAAAATTTAATTTGAGAATCAGACTCAACAGTGAGGCATTTTCTCTTAATAAATTATTCCAATTAACCAAAAAAGATACATTATTTTTAGAGAGCAGCTGTTAAAGAAATGTATCAGTTCTCTTTGTCTTCCTTACAGTAAATTTATCATTAAATGTTTGTGGCATATTCTTAGTCCTATGTTAGAAGTTTAGAAGTATTTGTTAAAGGGCTTACATGGGTTGTTCACTAACTACTATCTAAAGAATCAATACAGGTTTGTCTACTAGAAATTGTTTCCTGATCGAATGTGTGGAATCTGTTGTAGTATAGTGTCCCCACATAGTGTCCCCACATAGTTGGCGCTCAAAAATGTTTTTATAATTAAATATAGCATATAGTTTTAAAATTCAGAACCTTAAACATTATTTTGACTTTCCATACTGGACGTAGAATGTTGGTATCAAATTATGAATTTCTTCCAATTTTCCATTTGGAATGTTTACTATCACTGAATTCTATTTATTTTGAATGCAAAACATGAAATGATAAAATAAATTCCATACAACATATTTAGAGGACATGCCCTCCTTTCCCATCTCCCCAAAGACATCTTCGTTATGCTGTTTATTACCCCAGGCATGTTCCCTAAAAAACGTTCAGTTCCTCATTTACTCTCACCATTACTGAGCTCACCTCTTCTTACATATCTATAATAAAAAAATATTTTTTATACTGAAATTTTTGGCTACCCCTGTTGCTAATGGTACAATAATGGATCAAAATAATCTGACTATATTTCAAGGAAGGAAACAAAATATGAGGGTGCTTCAAAAAGTTCACGGAAAAATAGAATTAAAAGATAATCTGTCTGTGAACTTTTCAAAGAACCCTTGTATAGTCATTGGACTTAATATAAGACTATGCAATCAGCACATCTCTGGCTACTTAACTGAGATTAATTGATATCACTTTATGTCAAATGATTTGTACACTTTATGTACAGATGAGGCCTCAATTTATATCCCATGAAGAGATATATGTTAAAAATACTTCTCTCTCCCCCTCTCTCTCTCTTTTTTTTTTTTTTTTTTGGGGTGGCTGGCCAGTTCAAGGATTGACCTTTGGTGTTATCAGCACCACATTCTAACCAACTGAGTTAATTGGCCAGTCTCAGAAAATGCTTCTCTTTAGCAGCTCGTGACTAATAGCTGGATGTTGGTAGATGCTTTGACACATCACTTTGGAAATTTCATTTCAGAAAACAAAGCATTAAGTGTGTCCTACAGTATTCTTTGTGTTAATATAGATTTTAGGGGAATTTAATAAGTTTTGCTTTTTCTTTCTTCTTTGCTGAGTAACTATAAGTATACCATATTAACCTTCTGTAAAATATGTTAATAGTGTCTGTCCATCAGAATCACTGGACAATAAAGGAGAATGCCAAAGTGTAAATCCATGAAACTATTGAAATGTGTACTAATGTTATACAGAAACAAATGGAAAGGAGTTATTTTTAGACTTTAATCAATATATAGTATGGCTCAGATTTATGGATTTTAGTTACTTTTTACTTCTAATGCAAAATACAAATCTATTTTTTTCAAGATAAACTGTTTTGTTGGCGGTTCTACTTTGCACTGAAATTAAAACTCTTAGAGACCAAGTCTTAGTGGCATTGAAAGAGTGAATTCATCTTATTGACTTATTCCTTACTTTTATGACTGGGGATATTTTTTAGTTTCTCTAAAGAGCAAAATAAAAATCACACAGAAGGTGAATGGAAAATGCTATTTGTTTTTGTTTTTTAATTGATATAGTTATTTTTATTCTTAAAGCTTCTCTTTTACTTTGCAGTTACCTGTGGCAGATTCCATTAACTATTGTGGTAGGAAATAGAAGCCATGTGTCTTCAGAAGCAATTATTTGGGTGTCTAACAAATCAGGTAAAATCTATAGTCTCCCCTGAGGAACTGTTTGGTTTCAAATAATTGTTTAGCAACTTAACCTCTGGTTTCAGCTGTTATAAAATGTGAATAAAGACAAATTAGAAAGAAAAGATAGAGGAATGATAATCAGCTCTACAAAATTAGGTATAGTGTAGTATAGTTTCTACATTATCTAATTTCAGTCTGCCTATGTAATTATTAAATTTATTTTTTTCTTTGATGGTAAAGGAAAACTTAAAAAATAAGTATTTGAAGTACTTATCATAGTTGTTTTTAAACTGTATAATTTAATAATTCCAATGTAATTAAAATATCATCATAACCCCAGTAAAAAAAAGTATGTCAAATACTGAAATACATGCATCACTTTTAATTTTATTTTTCTATCTTCTCTTTACCAGACTGTCTCTTTAAGGGATGAGAGAAGCAATATTCTCCATGGAATTAAAAAATTATAGGGCCAGACAGGAGGAGTTTAGACAGGTCAGAAAACCATCCCCTAGGTAGGGTCAAACCTCAAAGAATAAAGAAAGATGAGACTGTTCTTTTCCTACATATCTTCAAACAACTTAGTGACCTATTTCAATTCACTGTCAGAAAGCTATTTCTTGAATCCAATCTATATCCTTCATGCTAGAGTGTGAAACAGGTCACTTTTATATCTCTTTTCCATTGAGTTGGAGAAAAAAACAATTATCATCTTTCATATAACATTTTATTTAGATATAGATGGTCAATTGTGTCCATATTTTGTTTTTCTTACCCCTTTCTCACATGCTGTTAATTGATGCTATCTTGGTATTTTGTAAGCATCATTTTTAACAGCCACAAATTTTAAGTTTTTTAAATAAGATGAAGTGTAAATAAATAAATATGGTTTACTCCCTCAGTTATGCTATTACAAAGGAGATTTAAGTGCTCAAAATACATACATATATACATATTACAAAAAGTTCTTACAGCAAAATCTAATCTGGTTACCAGAAATATAAACACTTAACAAATTCCAGATGAATTTTTATCCAGATTTTAATGTTATTGTATTTTTAACACATAAACACATATTATGAAAATATACGCTTTCACTTATGTACCTTGCATATAAAACATCCGTTTGTAATGTAGTGATACATTGAAATGCTTGTTTTAAAATTTATTAGTATTTCTCTTTTAAAATTATTATAATGTATTCTTTTCATTTCCTGGAGTTAGTATTTATACTGTGATTTGGAATTTACACTTACTATATTATTTGTGTTCATACTTCTCTTTTTCCGCTCATGTATTTTATTTATCCACATAATTGGTTATGGCATGATTAGTGAGAGCATCAAGTTGTTATTATAATGATCCACCTATTAGAATGATGACATCCCTCCATGGGATTGCTAGGAGCATGAGATAGAACTGTCTTCAGAAATAAAGTAAGGCTCTTTGGAAGGTAGAAAGGAAATAGGAAAATTAGAAGCGTGTAAAGATACTGATCAAACAGCAGGATTAGCCTAAAACTTCACTTTTAGACAGTGGGAGGATTCAGAGAAAGTCTGATTTTTGTCGCATACCTTTCCTGTTTCATTTCTTATAACTTCCTAGTTGTTTCCATGCTGTTACTAATGGTATTTCCTTATCCCACACAGAGTATAGAGAGTAGTATCACAGGTTTCCTTGACCAATCAATAGCCATTGGTTGTTACAATTGAGGGATTGTTTCACTTTATAGCATTTAATTATTATCCAGGAATAATAACAATGTATTGGTTCAAATCATATGTTTGCTTTAAATGTCACCTATACTGATATGTATGGTTGTTATACACATTTGCACAAATTGTATGGTACGTTAAATCTAAGAGGCACTAATTGCAAAGACTATGGTATGAATGGCACATTCCTCTACCCCAAAGTTGTGCAATGTGCGAGCTGCATAGTATAATGTGTCGTTATCCATTAAATTATAGCAGAACCTTCTGTTTGATATAAATGTTGTCATGGTTGAAAAGTTGAAGCTTGTGAGATGTCCATGCTAAGTAAATGCTTCATGAAATGTTTCCTGAAAACTTTATAAATACAAAATCTGGAAGAAAGTTTCCAAGAGAGACCTAAAATAAAGACTATCTTCCTGTTTTACCTTTTCAGTCACACTTCTAATTGTACTCAATTTTGTCTTGAAGTCCTTCATTCTAATGACTAATAAAAACTAAAACCAGACAAAGATTAGGGGGAAAAAGAAAAGATTATTAACTCTTGTCTCCTTTGATATGTTGTCATGTCTACTTTTTGCCAAAAGATAGCCAACTAATATCAATGAAAATTGTTTCTCCATAAAAACATAAAAAGAATATTCTGGCCAATTCTTATCAATTTATGTAAAAAAATTACACATTAAATTATAACAGCTAGATTAATGTTTTTATAATTTTTTTATTGTTAGTAGTGACATAGGTTTGATCTCCAAAGTCATTGGTGGATAACATAAAGTTCAAATTTGACGTGAATTATCATATACTCTTGACAGTTCAATTTTCTAAACTCTTTAGATAAAAATCTAATTAATTCAAAGGTAAGGCATAAATTATTTTAGCCTAAGAATAGTTGCTAACCAATTTTTAAATTGTTGAAAACATGTTGAAGAGCTTATCTTCTATGAAAATAAGAATTTTCAGGAATTTCAAAAATTCAGACCTTTATAAATGTAGTAGCTTGTATGTTGACTGACTATTCAATTAATGGTGAATGGAGGAGAAAAAAATTAATGCCAAGTATTGGAAAGAAAAGATTAAAAAAAAAAAAAGAGAAATAGATCCCGAAAATTAGAAGTAAACATTAAAAATAGCTTAATGCTGTAATGCTGTCCTCAAACATTGGCTCATTTGAGATTCACAAACCTTGAAAACAAGTATTATCTTTATCCCCATCTTACAAATGAGGAAATTAAGCTTGAGAAATAATTTACCCAAAGTGTCAGTTGGTTAGTTAGGTAGAGAACTGGCTTTAGGAACTTGCATTTTCTTTTCTGTCTATCCCTGTCTTGACTCTCTCTCTCTCTCTCTCTCTCTCTCTCTCTCTCTCTCTCTCTCTCTCTCTCTCTCGTAAGGTTTTAATACTTGTGGTAGGTTGGTTTGCAGATGTCAGTTACTCAGCATGACGCCTTTGGATATATGCACATAGTTCTTTATAGGTTCTACAAAACATTCTTATTTGATTTTCCCAAGAGTCCAGTGAGGAAACAAATACTGTTATTATCCCTGAGTTCGTTTCACATTGTTACCTTGTTATTCTTGTAGACTTGATTTTTTAATTTTAATTCTTTTGCTTCCAGTAAATATTGTGTAGAAATGCCTGATGTCCTTTCCCTTTTTATTCCACCAGAAAGTATAAAATGTAATATCTTATAAAAGACCAACTACTCTGTGTCTTGATATATTCTAAGTACTGTGCCATTTTGTGTATATTCTAAATATAATTTTTAATTATTACCAACACTCGAAATATAACTTCCATACTTTTTATTATGGTACTCATCAAATACCATACCTCATTAGGCTATCGGAAGGGATCTCTTTCAAATTCATTGCTTGCCATTAGTTAATTTGAAGAACATTTTAGGAATATAATTAACTAGAACCTAAAAGATATTTAAAAATCTATTACAACATCTTTCAGGGAATCATTTCTCCAAAGATCTCATTTGTAACAAAGGCATAAAAATATTCATGGACAGTAATAACCTTCAGGTTTTAGTTATAAATTTAATAATGACACACTTCAAAACAATAGAGGCTTGTCTTTCTTATTCTATTCAGACAATGTAGAAGGCATAGGGATTATTTTCCTATATTAATTTTAAGTTGACAATACCTATAAGTTGCTGAATGGAATAAGTTTTAAAACTAGAGTCAAGTGAATCACATGGGTTTAAGTTATATCAGCTATCTAAAATGTGGACAGGAAGTAACTTTAAAAATAGATTTAATATCATAAGAATTCATGACCATTTCCAACTCGTACAAATCTAAATCCTGTGCTGTTCATATATTAAACTTGGTGCTTTAAAATTGTAACTTTTTGGAAAAAAAAAACATTTCTTCGATGAAAATTGTCAAATATTGTCTTATAAAAATTTTAGTAGATATGAAGACAGGGTTACTCAGAAGAAACGATTTCCTCAATATTTAAGTTTTAATATTTCTTCACTGAATTCAGACATGATTAATTTAAATGTCTGCGTATGAGGCTGTTTTAGTTTTTAAAATGCCATATTTTCTTGTTATTTTTATATCTGTAAAATGAGTGTGGTGTTCTAAAGCCTCTTTAAAGCAATTGTGTGGATAAACACATGAAAATTTTGAAAAGTACACAATTATAAAGTTTTAGAGATTTAAGAAGCCATTTTCAGTTTAGAGAAATATCTGATAGATTTATTTTCCTAAGTACCATGGATTAAGTTAGGTAAAATCTCTAAGAAAAATACCTTCTTCCTTCATTGCATCATAGACTTGGAAGAAACCATAAAGTCCATTGTTTGGCCCTCAGGTATAAGTACTGAAAATGAGAGCCAAAGAGAATCAATGACCTGAATTCAAACATTTATTACAGGAAAGCTGGAACAAGAATCCCGCTTTCCTACACTAATCTAATTCTTTTTCCAGTGCCATTTTCCCCCTTTCAAATCAATTTAAAAATGTGAAAAGTGTTTATCATATTACAATAAAAGTGTTATACTATCTCGTATTAATAGATTATAACATAGTAAAAAGGACACTGAAGTCTGGAGACCCAAGATGGACAATCTACAGCTTTCTTGGATGATTCAAAGAACCTGAGTCTCGTTTCTTTATCTGTTCCAAAGACACAATATATAAAAGTGGAGAGAAGTTGAAGTAATATGTGAAACATTAAAGATTAAATTTTTATATGTGGTATAATTTTGGGTTTAAGTACATTTTGTTACAGCAGATTTTTGAAAATTTGTTATCTGTGACATGCATTGCATTCATTAGTCCACCCCATTCCAGACCTGAGAAATAAATGGTCATTAATGTCCATGCAGTAATTTTTGTAGTATAACTTCTTCTTGTGTGGCCTGTACTTGAGAGAGAGTACTCTGTAAATTCAGTAATTCAAGGAAATAAAGGGGAAAACTTTATTTCCTTTTTTGCAGTCTAATGTGTAAAAACCTTGATAATGGAGTAAGAACTAGAGATGTGTCCCCTACACAGACCTGAGGCATATGGTGTCTGTGATACATTTTACGGTTTTAATTCATTGTAAAAATTAGACCAGTGTGGTTCTATTTTTTTTTTCCTTCCTGGATGTCAAACTGTGTGTGTGTGTGTGTTTGTGTGTGCGTGTGTGCGTGTGTGTGTGTGTGTGTGTGGTGCATATACGAGTATAAATAAAGTTTAAGTTAACTTTATTGTGTAAATTCTATGAAGCATGAGTCCTGAATATCAACAACAAAATCAGTAGAATTGTGAACTGTGGTTCTGGGAAGTCAGTAAACTAACTTTTCAAGTGAATGGAATTCTCTCTCTGTACCAGTTCTCTGAGGAGTTAAATATGTAAGAAATTACAATATTGTGTTTACTGACTCCTATTAATTGAACTAGCTAGAGAACATAATTTAGTTACCATTTTCCAAAGTGATTCCAATAAGCAGAATTTATTATTTTTTTCTAATTCTCTGTGGAAATATTAGAATCTTGAACAAATGAGCCTCCTTTTTTTTTTTAGCATAATTGATGATGTTGAAAAGTGTTATTTATTAGTGCTCCCAAGAAAGCACAAGAAAAAAAGGGAAAAAAACAATAATGACTTTCAAATAAATGGGCTCTATTGTTTTAATTACTTTTTTACTGAATAAAATAAATAGAGTATGTGTCTAAAAACTTTTCTTTTATTCTAGCCACATATCCCCATGCAATCTAATTAGAAGCCACATGAGTGCAGTGGTAGATTTCTAGGTTACATATATTTTAAGAAAGAAAATTTTGTATTGGTAATGGGGTTTTGTCAAGAACAAAAATGTTAATTACAAGAAAACAAATAATTGAGATAATGAGTAACCAACTAATGGTTTTTCTAGGAAATTCTAGATGCAAGTGATTAATTAATAAAAGAGTAGTTTTCAATTAGGTATTTCAGATGGCATTCTCTTTTAATTATTGGTGTTGTTATATCTGGGTTAAGAAAAAACACATTACTCCATTTTCATTCTTAAAATTTAAATTTATTTACCCCCCCAAAAATGCTATTTTCAGAGCACCACAGAATAACTTATTTGGATAAAGGAAGCTGGATACTGGGAAACATCAATCAAACTGGCTACTTTAGAGTCAACTATGACCTAAGGAACTGGAGATTATTAATTGATCAATTAATCAGGAACCATGAGGTATACTCCAGATTTGCTCATCAAGGATCTGTTTTGGTATGTGAACACCTGCCATTTTAATCCTAAATTATTCCATGTTTTTTTCTGATTGACCTCATAGGTTCTTTCTGTCAGTAACCGAGCGGGTTTAATCGACGATGCCTTCAGCCTAGCCAGGTATGTTTTCCTGTGGATCTCCACATTAAAATCTTGTGCCTGTAAGACTTCCTCTATTAAGCTAAATGGTATGTATATCTTTGATTTAAGAAAATTTTAAAAACAATTTCTATATCACATTGTTTTGTGTTTGGATGTGAGTTAAAATCAGTGTCCTAAACTCCTGATCCATAATAGCCATAGGGTATTTCCAAGTCAGGAGAAGCTTTATCAGTTTTGCTGCAAGTTCAAATTAACACTCTGGGGATTAATAATCTTTTCCCAGTTTCATTAATGAACTCTACAAAATGACCATTGTGACGTACTTAATTTTTGATAGAAAATACCTTCAAGCATTGGCAACTTTTTCCTTACAGACACCACTATATCTTTTTTAAATGTTTTTTTGAATGTGATTCATTATGAAAAGATAGTGCTGCAAGACAGAAATAAATATTCCACAGGGTAAGACTGTTCTGGACACGTATATGTCAATCTTGTGGTCAAAGCCTTTAGTTGTTCTAATTATAGTAATATTTGTGTTATTTTCATAATTATATTTGTAATGTAAAAATCAGTTATTCATTTGAATAGTCATTCAATGAAATAATATTTATCATAAACCTAAACTATTTACTCAATTTTGAAACTGGATAGTAAAATAAACTCAGTCCTTTAAATATTTTGTACTATTTCACATCTAAATACAGTTTTAATTTTAATTTAATTTTATAAACTACAGATTAGGATATGGGTAATTCTCTCTACGTACCTGGTTATCATGATTTATCACATTTTCTCCTAAGATAGTTGTGTGAAATTATGTCTGTGCTGACATGAACACATGACTTATCTTAGTATTATGCATTGTTTCATACTTGAGATCTGAAACTGCTTTTACAGTTTATGTATTCAGCCAAATCTCAATTCTCTTACATATGTTTAAAAGCATATCACACCCTATGGTTTTCTAATCCATCAAAACTAATGAGTTTACATATAGAAAGCTCAATAATTACTTTGACAGAAGCAAAGTTAAAGTTTGGGACCAAGTTACAGGGATTATTTTCTGTAGAGTAAGTAATATAGAAAAGAGAATTAATAAAAAAAGATAAAGCCGAAATTTCAGGTGTGTTTCTATTAAAAAAAAAAAATCTCTGACTTTTGCCTTCCTTACTGCCACTATAGAAGTCAACAAGCATTACTAATATTTTCCTTACTTGCTGAGTGGTGCTGCATCAGTGCTACATTCTGACCAGGAAGGTAAAGTTGCAGGCACAAATTTGCCCACTAGCTAAATGGCAAGTCTAAGGACAGTTTATCAGCAAGGACATTTCCAATGAAATTGTACCAATTGGGTATAATTGTTTAATGAGAACTGAGGTTCACTTCCAGCAAAGGTAAATGAAGGCTTTTTCATGCCACAGCACCATCTAAATTTTTTGGACAAAAATTTAGAAATAATAGAGGTGGAGGAGGACCTGCTGAGATAGTGATGTGTGGAAATAAAGATGTAGCTTTTGCTCTGCAGTAAAATATGAAGACTTCGAAGAAAGTATTAGGTATGGTTGAAAAATTATTTTGACATAGAAGTTTAGAGAGTCCAGAAAGCCAGAAAGAGTGTACTTAAAGTAATATTGCACTGAGAGAGAAGCAGAAATAGAGAGATATGTTGAGTACTACAAGGAAAGGGCTAGGAACTCAAAGACAACTAATATCACTGTCTAATAATTAAACACTTATAAGGTGCCACTGTTCTATTTTATATATAGTAATTTGTTTAATTCTCACAACAAAACCTTATAATTTATTTAGATGTGTACTATTGTTCCCACTTTATAGGTGAAGAAATAGGGGCTCGGAGAGGTCATGTAACTTGCCTAAAATCACACAGCTAATAATTGGCAGATCCAGGGCCTCGATCCAAGTGCTCTGGCTGCATAGCTCCTGCCTTTAACCAGAGCACTATACTGCTTCTTAGACGTAATGTTATTTATTTTAATAAAAGAGACAGGCAATATGGAGGGACTGAGGAGATTTGAAGCAGTAGCTCATGTGAATCCTTATGGGTTGGAAATGATGGTGAGGAAGCAAACAAGTAGTGATGTTCTGAAGACAGAGGACGCATGGAAATTGAAAGGGAAGGATCTTTTGACTCATCTGCATTAAATGATAGAAATTATTTTAAAATGGAATATTTAATTTTAATGGATGAACTTTTTTTTCAAAACTTAGATTTCTTGTTCACTGAGGCAGAAGATTGCTTTCAGTTTCAATTTTGGAAGCCTTAAAAGTTTGAAAGAAATAATTTCATTATCACTTCTACAAATTCACCAGAAAAATATGCAAATCTGATTAAATATATAGTTATGATTTGTTTTGCTTCTCATCAGATAATTTTCCTATGAGAGTGAGAGTAAATAATTAAAAAATCAGATTTTTTCAGGCAAATACCATACACTTACTTGAAATTAAGAGTTACTCATATTTCATTGTATTCTAGTAAATATTCCATAGTTTTACTATTCAGTCTGTATCTACCTTCTTTTAAATTTCCAGAACACATACACTCTTTGGCTTTTTTAAAGATAGTGAGTAGAAGAATAGCAAATATTTATTAAATCCTTATGTGTAGGTACTGTGCTGAGGCTTTTATGAATAACCTTCTTCCATCTTTTCAGAAAACCTATGGAGTGGGAACAGTTACTGTCACCATTTTATGGCTGAGACGAGGAGATTAAGAGGGGTTTCATCACTTAGCTAAGGTTGCACAGCTTTCAAGTGTGTGTGGTAGGGGATTCAAGCTTTAACAGTGGCACTGCAGAGTTCATGAACTCAAGGCAGAGTGACTTTACCCATTACATTAAATTTCTTTCTATCTCCATACTCCTTGTCTGTCAAGAATGTTATCATCCACTTAAAAAGAAAAAATACTATTTCATTCACCCTCCCTCACCGAAGCCTGATCTGTCCTTAACCAGCAAGAGTTAGATGATGTTCTGTGGACCTGTGTTATAGCAGTTGTCACCCTGTTGCTCAACCGCTTACTCTTCTGGGTTACTGATAATTCTTATATGATCGGGAGGAGAAGCCTTCATCTCATACTTGGGTTACCACTGCCTAACCTAATTTTTGGTACAGTATCATACCAATATGTTTGTTGTATGAATTGATCATTATTAACTATTCAAACTGTATACTTTCACGTCACTATTTTTATGCAATTAAGTTTCTTGCTCTAGGTATTTTTTTTTTTTTTTTGTCTTTTTGTCTTTTTTCCGTGTCCGGCAACGGATCGCAACCCTCAGTGTTGCCCCCGCACCGGACCGGGGACCGGCACCGGGATCGCAACCCTTGGTGTTGCTCCCGCGCCTCGCTCAGCCAGTGAGCGGGAACCGGTCTGTATGTGGGATCCGAACCCTCGGGCAGGAGCGCCGCCGCTGCGGCGCGCTATCCAGTGTGCCACCGGGCCGGCCCTCTAGGTATTTTTTTATTGTTTCTAAAAAATACATGTAGAAAGCACATAAAATCTAATTGTAAAAGATGAAAACAAGAAATACAATGCGAAATCGTTCACTCCCTTCATCTTCTGCCATCACTTTACCATCTTTACAGGTAAAAATTTTTAATATTTGGTATGTATTAATCCAGCCACTTTTTTTTACACTTCTATACAGTTTGCTTTTTTTTTTTTACATATATGAACAGAAATGTATTCTGTTCTCTGACTCACTTATAAACATAAATCTGGGGAGCTTTTCATTGTTTTTAATTTGTCACTATTATAATCAAGACTGCGATGAATATCCTTGAGCAGTCTTTTGTTATGCATATGTGCATTTTTATAGGATTGATTCCTGTGAGTGCAATTTTGTATTCAAAGAGTGTAAAATTTTTGATGAACATTATAAATTGTACTCCTAAGGCTTTCCCACCTTAACCCTCTACTAACCATGCATGAAAGGGTCAATTTTTTCAATTCCTTCATTACATTGAATAGTACACATATTTTACATTTTTGACAGTCTGGTAGCAAAAGTAAGTTTTTAAAAGTTATTCATTTTTGGTTAAATAAAATTGTGCATTTTTTCATATACATTTGGTATTTGTATACTTCTCTTCTGTGAATTGTCACCTGGTGAAAAACAAGATAAAAACCTAATAAAAAATAGACAAAGGTATTTTTCCTATATTATCCTATATGTTTTAGATGTTTTTGGATATTAATCTTTTTGGAGTATATATTTTACAGTATTTTCTCTCAACACTATGCCATTTTTAAAAAATTTTGTTGTGTATTTCATTTTTCAAAGGCTTTTAATTTATATGTCAAATCATTCCTTTCATAGCTTTCTGGTTCTGTATCACTTAGAAGGCTTTCATATCTGAACATTTTGAAAATATCCTATTTTTTCTTTAAATATTATTTTGCTTTACATTTATCTCCTTAACCATTCCTTCTCTAATCAATTTTTATATATAGAATGAAGTAAGGGTCGAATTTTCCTTCACATTAAGAAATTTATTACTGATTATCCCATTCATACTTATTTAAAGGACTTTTTTTTCATAGATTTGAAATATCTTTATGTCAATGCAAATGCTCATATTTTTGGAAATTGCTTTGATTTTGTTGTATTGATCTCTGTTTTTTTACCGCACCAGGACTATATTGTTTTCATTGGTTTAGATGTATAGTATCTTGTGGTTGACAAAACTTTATTTTGTTATTTAAAATCATATATTTTCTTTGCAATATAAATTTTAGAATGAGTTTGATAAATCCCACTCAAAAATCCTGCTTCAGTTATTACTGGATATGCTTTGGATTTATTAATTAGTTTGTAGAGTATTAACATCTTTTCAATTTGAACTTACTAATGATAGAATGTTTTTCTCCCCATTTATTCAGGTCCCTAAATCAAACCCTGTGATTTTATGTACATAGTTCTGGTAGTACTGTATTATTTCCTCACTTTTTAAAGGCATATGCTGCTACATGAAGTTGCACTGTTTCCACA